CCTTTTCCGCCCGCCTACGTTCCTTCTCCATCCGCCTCCTCTCCTCCCGCTCCTTCGTCTCCCTCTCAAGCCGTTTCAGCTCCTCTGCAAGCTTACGTCTCTCCTCCCTCTCTCTTTCTAACTCCAACGCTAATCGCCGGTGCTCTTCTCTCATAATATCCTCCTCCCGGCGCCTATACCCCCTCCGCGGCTCCCTCTCCCCCCGGCCCCCGGTCCCCATTCGCCCGTATCCGCCATCCTCATCGTCGAAATCCTCGTCAAACGCATCCTCGCCGTCCATTTGGCTCCCCTCGGGGACGTCCTCGCGCATCCTGCGCGCGCGTTCCGCGCGCCTGCGCCTGCGCTCCTTCTCCTCCATTGCGCGCAGCTCCTCCTCCTCCTCCGCCTCCTCCTCGTCATCGTATTCCCCCGGACCCGCGACCGTTCTCGACCGCATTGCGCCGCTGTACCGCGTCCCCCTGTGGCCCCCATACCCCCCCCCTTCCTCCTCATCATCCACCAATTCGGACGCGGAGCGCGGAACCCCCTTCTCCCCCCGCTCCTTAGAAAGCATACCCGCCAGCGGAGTTCCCTCAGTGGTCGAAGCGGAACGGGGGACCCCCGCCCTCCGCCCATGCACATCCGCCGTTTTCGGGCGGCTTAGCCCCTCCCCCGCAAACCCCATTCGCCCCGCCATCTCCATCCCCGTCGGCGTCCGCGGACGCGCCCCCGCTTCCCCGTGTTCCGCCGCACTTCGCCTACCGGCTGCGCTTCGCAGCCTTCCCGAGGGGCTGGGCGCGGGCATTTCCCCCCCCGCTCCGCTGCTCCGCGAGGGCGGGCGCGCGAAGAGCGCGGAGCCAGGGTCCCCCGCATCAGAGGCGTGAGAGCTCTGGCGGGAGGGCGGGCGGTGCGGATCTCTTTCCCCCGCGGGCCTCCGCCTAAGCGGAGACCGCATTGGCCCGCCCTCATCCGCGTATCTCGAGCGCATGCGAGGGGGGGGCGTGCGGGGAGTGTGTTCAAACCCGCCGTCGCCCCGCTCGCGCATGCTCCCCGTGCGCCTGCCCATATCGTCTTCGTCCCCCAACGCCCTGCGCCGGGGCCGCCTCTCCCCTTCCTCGTACGCGATATCGTCGTCTCCGTGTTTCGGATGGTACCGTCGCACGGACGACGACGTTGATGACATGCTTTCACGATCCGGCGAAATCGGCCGCCCGCCGCCGCTGCTCGCCCCACCTGGCCCCCCTCCGGCCCCGCCGAGCGCAATTTTAGCCTCGGACGCGCTAGAAGCAGACCGGTTAATCTTACTATCCGGGTCATCGCCTGCGTTGTACACTTGCACCGATCTGCACCGTCGCGCAAACCGCATGTTTGCGGGAACCCGCTCCCCTCCCCCTGCGCCTGCTCCCCCCGCCCCCGCGCCCGCGCCCGCGCCCCCTTCTTGAATAGACTCCTCCACCCATTTACTCACAGAACGCCCCCTAGAAGGTGACATAATTTCCTCCGCGTCTTCCGCCAGCGGGGACTGCAAGCGCTCCCGCGCGCTCCCCCCAAATCCCCCCCCCGCTGCGCGCGCGGCGGAGTGCGACTTGGGGATAGCGCGCGGGGAGCCAACGGCTCTGTCCCCACCCATCCGCGGAGAGACAAGCGGGGCGCCATCCTCTCCACCCATCCCCCCGAGACCGGACGAGCGCATTCTCCGGCCCCCGCTGGTCGCCGGCCGAGCCGCACCGCCGGATTCTCGCAACCAATCAGGAGGCCGGCCAGCACCGGTGGTTGACAGGTCATCTCCGCCTGAGTTGTCGCGACGCATTCTCCTCCCTCCTGACGTGGACGGCCTGGCGCCTCCGTAGTCGTCGATTGCGTGGCGCCCGCGCTCAGGGCGGGGGGATTTCTCGCGGCGCAACACGCCGTTAATCGACCTCCCTCCGCTCCCCCGCTCCCGCTCGTCGTCATAATCGTCCAATCCAAGGCCGCGACTCGATCTAGACACGCGCCGCCTCTCTCCTTCCGCCATGGATATTTCTCTCCTGCTTAAACGGCTGCTCTCTTTCCCAAGCTCGCTACCGTTTTTCCCAGCGCCTAGAGTAGCGTTTAACTCCGCCCAGGCATCGCGATAAGCGGAGGGTTTCTTAGGAGGGAGCTCGTAACCTTGCGAATCGTCAGCTGTGCTACTAAGCGGGGTGCTGTCAGGAGACGGTAAACGGCCTGACGCTATAACGGGGTCCGCACGTCCTGATGCTATAACGGGGTCTGCTATCTGTAGTATCGCTACGCCACCAGCTCCTCCTCCCCTGCCGTTAGAGTCCTCCGCACCACCGACGCCCATGATAGGCGGACCATTATCCGCACATGACGCGTCATCAAGACATGACACTGAGAATATAATTTTAAAAAAAGGTGTGCACCTGCGAATTCCTCGTAGTAAACTAACAGGTGTGAAGTACCAGGTATAGCTTGGAATACAGAATAACACGTTTTTATAGACTAAAGATCGCCTAATAACTTAACGAAAGCCGCTGACCCGCGTAACCCTAATACCAGTGATTAGCATAGCAAAGAGCTCGATGCCTGTGCCCAAAGCAAGCCGCGTTAGTTAGACCCTAAACTTCACAGAACAATCGGATTAGGTTTCAGAGACTCGAGGAAATTAAAACTGCTACTGTTGGTTGGGCTGTTTCTAAGAATGGCTCCTGTTGCGACAAGCGTGGGATTGCCGAACAGAGACACCAGCTCAACTACTGTCGCTTCTGTGGCGAACTGATGCCCGCACGGGCTTGTGTTGTGGAACCAATGAAGCTCTCCTAGCCTGATGTCCCAAGCCCCCATTCTTACGGTGCGATACGGTTTAATGCATTCTTCTATATTGTCTGTAAACGATATCGCGTGTTCTAGTACGTTTCGAGGGAAACTGGAAGTTACTGGCGCGGCTGGTTGGGTTCGAGGAGTGCTTTGGCTGTGGAAATGGATTTCATCGCTGTTTCAACAGTCATGTGCTGGACTGACCCACCCAACCAAACGAACCTCAATATTGTCGGGCGGGCTGACCCTCTCACAAAATGGGAACATCCCATCAACGACCTCGATACTGTCGTAGTCACTTCGATATTGCGGAAATTATTGATTTCGCGCGCATCTACATTTCATGTGCTGTGTTGTTGATTCAGGTAACTGCAGCGATGTTGGACTCAGTTTCCCGCCAAACCAACAAATCTCTGGCCCGTCTGAAAGTCAGTGAAGGGGGGTGTGCTCTGCTGATTTACAGCGGGGCAACGCCCAAGCCAACCACGCACAAGAGCATCGTGGAACTCACTGACTGGCAGCACTCGTTCTGAAATTCCATTTCTTGACAACCGACCTGTTGAGCTGTGAAACACCGCCATGTCCCACGAATGAGAGTTGTGCTGTCCCGTTGTTGTTTCCCTGCTGCTTTGGTTCGAGGACAAATTGGGAAAGACCCTAGTTGCGTGAATACCAACGATGTTTGGTCTAGGCCCATCCCGTCGTGTAGCGACACCGCAAGTGCCGTCAGAAGATGAACTCCTTAGGCTTGCAGATGAAGCGACGGCAACTACGGCGAGAAAAGCAGAGACCCTGGCTATGGTAAAGGAAGGAGCAGTGGCGCAGATGCAGGCAGAGGCGAAGCGTCTCGATGCAGATGCCTGGATGTTTGAGGCTCCACGATTCAACCCACGAGCGCTTGCATGATACGTAGGATCGGCGCACCTAAGGGGCAATTTAGACGCAGGCGAGGACTCCCCCTCCCCTGCTCCTCCCACCCCCTCACAATCACTGTAACCGCCAATTCGTCGCCTGTTTTCTGACCACCTATTCGAGTTCCATCGGCTCCCCTTCCACAAACACTTGGTTGATAGTGAACTTATGGCGCCTGGTTGCTGCATATGTGGCAAGGAACCCTTATATTACTCCAGCATTAGAAGAATCTCATCCCACAGCTGCTTTTAGAACACAATAAGACCCGCTCTGTTGTTGAATGGTGCTTTTGACGCTGTCGCTCCTGACGTACAAGCGGTATGTAAATGTCCATCATACTAGCATGAAAGGGCAGAGGGAGGGATGTGCTGTCTTAATTGTGTATAATTTACGTTCTGGTACATATATCAAACGTTCCACTAAAGACTAGCGTACCTGTATCACTTTTATGATCCTACTTCCTGGGACTATCTACAATGTCCATGATTTCCTGGATGTCACCAATGAGCATCGGACTCCACTAACTCTCAGAAGCTTCCCCCAATAAAGTTAGACCACAGAAGAGCCACAGTGACGACGAGAAGCACCGACCACACAATGACAATTGTGGGAACACGATCCCTCTTCCCAAGCAGACCCTTGGCGAATGGGTAAAGATGGACAAGGACCCAGAAGCTGAACACTAGCTTGCCAGCAAGCTTCCCTGCAAATGGGAATATCCATGCACACAGGCACATCATAGAGGTTGGCGTGTCAGTGGACCATGACGATTGACAGGTGAGTAAGGGAGAGAGTGACGTAGGGAATGAGAGCGGGGCACACGAGGGGAGGAAGGAGTGCAAGATTTTGGCAAGAAATGTCAAAGCACAAACGGCAAAGAGCTCAGTGTGATGGAGCAGATTAACACTTGCCACTTACCCCATTCCTGTGACCCATCTGAGCTCATCGCTCGTCCAACCCCCACAATAATGCCCAGAATGTTGAATAGGCCAATGAAGCACCCAGGAAGAAGCAGCCAGGAAAACTTAAAGGTATGTAGCTCATCCACTTCTCCTTCATCTCCACCTTTTGACGTCAATGTAAAGCTGATCTCCAACCCAGCAATAACTTTCAACAAACCCTGTGGAGGAATAGAGACAAAGAGTTAGGAGATCGGCGTGGAGAACCACTAGCAAATGGGCAAGCCAACTGCTACTGGCAAAAGATAAAAGAAAGTTAGTTGTTTAAGTTCTTCTCTTGCCTGCACAACGGCTGCAAAATGGGAGCTTATCCCAGCAATCAACCAAAACTGTTCGTTCCTCCACCATGCTTCAAAAGAAACTTTGCTCCACTTCAGCTCCAGCACAGAGGATGCCAGAAACGACAGGATGAGTACAGCAAACCAGATGACTGCATAGCGATCCAGCTGCAAGAGAAGAAGAACAACCAGGTCAACAGCAGAGAAAGATAAATCTCCAAACCAATCAGGAGCACAAGACGAGCATTGTCAGCAGTGGCGCCCAGTCAGCAGCGGTCAGAGGAACCCAAGATTTTGTGACACCAAGTCCTCACCGTTGGGACAAAGAAAAAGTCGGTAAGCAGGGCAAGGGGTGGCAGAAGACAGTATGAGAAGATTGCCACACTGGTAAATGGATAGAATGCGTTGTTTGCATACCTGCACCACTCAAAAGAAAAATCTCGTCAGCCAAAAAAGTCAGACCATAATGTTGTCAAGCAAGCCAACCACTCACGCTATCCTTTGACGGAGTTTCAGTTTAGTGCCCCACTGAGACCATAATGGATTTCTTCCACTGAAGAAAATCTCTACAGCTCCTGTTGCCCATCGCTCAACTTGGTGCAGACGATCTGTCATGTTGAGTGGAGCAGACCCCTTGAATGCAGCGCGGTCTGGATCACAATAAGCAGAACGCCACCCTCGTGTGTGAATTTTCATCCCTGTAAGAATGTCCTCAGTGACTGAGCCATACATCCAGCCCACAGTCTTGCCCCAATCCGTGTTGGCCTCATAGTCACAGCTGATGGTAAGAACTACATCACTAAGCATAGATCTCGGGCTTAAAGGCTGCTCCTCAACATCTCCCGACAGGTTCTCATCGCCAGTTGCGGTGTTGACGAAATGGGCACAAGCACCCAGCCTTGCTGGAAGCTTGGGTTTCTTCACCAGTTGAGTGGAATCTGTTATGAGTACAGAGAATGTCATCAGTGAACGGAATGCGCAAGAAAAACCACTTGCCAATGACAAAATGTGGCATACCCTGATCATTCGATTCATGTCCATCTAATGACTCTTCCGGTCTCTTTCGGGGAAGGCAGCAGCAGCACAGGTAGCTCCACAGACCATTCTTGGCTTTCTTTGACATGCCAACCTTACTTGGATTTGGAGAGGGAAAATAACCATAGAGGGCCTGAAAGAATATAGGGAGGTTATTGTTTCTGTGACGTACAATTTGATGCAGTCCAAAGGAAGCAGATCACTGATTACAGAGTCACTTACACGGCGACGAAAAAAACATCCTGTTCCAACGTATACAGGTCCTTGCTGCCCATCGAGGCCTTTCATGTTGATGTCAAAGAACACTGTGTTATGGTTTGCATAACGATCGTTCCTGTCAATTCCATCAAAACGCTGGGGGAACTGCACGAAGCCTGTAGTGTAACCTTGTATGGGATCCAAGAAGAAGCAAAGCGCCTGTAGGACATCAAACATATCAGTTTCCTTGGTAAAAAATATAGCAATTCAGCTCAGCAGACATCACGACATACATCGCGAATAGCATCAGCATTGTTGATGTAGTGATCGCAGTCCAAGTTCATCAGCACAGCACCGTTAGTGATCAATCCGCTGGCTCTCAAGAGAGCATTCATCGCTCCTGCTTTCTTGTTGTGATCATGTCCAGGCCTCTTTTCCCGTGAAACATAGATGAGAGGTGGAAGAACTCCTCCCTCAAAGTCACGAACGTCTCCATCAGGGTGTAGAAATACCTGGTATGAAAAAGTTTATGGATGATAATGGCATGTCAATTGTGGCTTAAGAAGAAAGCGGTCGGGATGGTAGGAGGGTGGATAGGAAAAATAAAATGTTCCCGTACCTGGATAATCCCATCGTGATCACGCCTATTGTTGCCTGGCCAGGGTGTTCCATCCTCCAGCATCCAGCCTTCCTCCGGGGGATAACGGCTCTCAGCAACCAAAGCATTCATGCGAACTTTGAACTCCTCATATTCTCTCTGCGATGGAATTATAACATGATGAAGATTGGAAGCTACCACGATGGTTCCTGAATGAGCGTGTCATACCTTCACTTTGCGCCGAGTCTTGACAAAATCAGGATGCACTTTGTTCTTCAAAAAGTCCACGTTCAGGCTGAAGTACGCATCTGGGGACCTTGGCTCAATGCTATGCTTCTTGCAAAAAGGAACCCAAAGTCGTGCAAATCCAGCAGTCTCGGCCATGGCATCAAACATCAGCTTAGATGCCCCATCATCAGACAAGTAACAGGCAATTCTGCTCGTGAAGAAAGAAAAGAAATGTGACCGATTGAACTATAAAAAAAGCAGTTATGTGCAGTGGAAACCTGCCTGTCAGGTGGGTAGTTTGTCGCCAGAACAGAAAGAATTGTGTTTGCCGTGACCAGAGGTGGCTCCTTGGTGGCATCAGCAGTCGTGATAAAAACATCCAACTGTGGGAGCATTTCACCTCCGTCATCATACCTACAAAATAAGCAAGTTAAAACCATTTCTTCAGCCAATGACAAGCTTACTTAACTGATAATTTACACTCACACAGCTTTCAGCCTGTCTTTGTACGTCTCTCTCTTGACAGGAGTCAACTTCGGAAGTGTGTCGAGCACCCACGAAACAGCAAACCTGCAAGCTTGAAGAAACAGATTAGCTTAAAACCTCTTCCTACAAACCGCGAAGTGTTGCAGCTAATGAAACCGTTCGCACCATATCTCACAAATGACAGACATCAGCCAGAGCCAATATCCTGTCTCTGTGGGGTTGGCAACCCGATACTGAAGAAATCCAAGGATTGAACAAAGACGGATGAAAAGAACAATCCTGCATAGTAATACACTTTCATCAGTCAAGATGACGAAGAAAAAGAGGGAAACGGAAGAAGAAAAAAATATCGTTTGCAGTATGAACACACCTGTAAGGGCCGATTATGCTACCAGGATAGCTCAACTTTCTTGCCAAGCTCTTCTTCTTCCAATCAGCTCTGGAAAGCGTATAACACGATTAATCATATGTCCTGTAAGTTTAGCATCAAGCGCTAGCATAAGCCACTTACATCGGAACAGCTCGATCAGGTGCCTTTGTTGGTGGCTGCTCCCAAGCAACACTGCCATATCCATATTGAGGCTGACTGGTCTGAACGATGCTGTTATCTTGATGAAGAGGAACCAGGATTTTTTCTCCCTGAACCTGCAGACGTAAGAAAGAGGTGGTTTCAGCTATATTTCTTTCAAATGAGTAAACCGCAATAAATTTGCACATGCATACCTGAGGTCCCGATTGTTCAATCTCATTAATGCTTTGCAGCTGCTTTGATTCTGTTCTTGCAAGCCTCGACGGAGAGGAAGTGCCATCAGCCCGAGGTGTTTCATTAAGCATGGCTTGCATTATCGCCCCTGACAAAAAAAGGCAGGGTTTTTAAAATGTCCCAAAATGCTTCACGTGTAAAACACAACATGATATAGATGCCGCATACATTGCTCTCGGCTTCGAAGATCTCCTCCACATCCTGGACAGCGGTTTCTTTCATACTTGTGCACATGATCCAAACAGATGGTGCACATCCTGAAGGAACACTCGCATGGTGTGTACTCTTCATCCGCTGACACGGCATCACCACACATGTTGCAGACAGCTTGCTTTATCTGCGGGCCTGCGTTCTGAAATACTTGTTTAGTGCGAAGCTCCTGAGATAAAAACGGACAGCTTAGCTTACCATCAAACGCGTAACGCTTCGAATGCCATTTAAATTCTTGTCTCCATGAGCTAAGGAGCAAAGTAATCCCTGGGTGTGGGTACCCAGTGCACTGTTACTCCTTTCCTGCATGAAGTGTCATTAGCGACTGTGATCACACAAAATGTGTAGACTTTGCACAGTAACTTACCACTTTGATACGTGCCAACCCGAGTTTCTCTTCAGGAAACACTGATGCCGCTCTTGCCTCCTTTTCCTGCAATAATCTTAAAGTAAGCATTGACGAAACAAACAGCTATTACTAATCAGAATACTCACCGCATCGCGGCTTATCGCCAATGAACCTCCCCTTGATCGGCTTAAGGATGTCCTGATGGAGCTTTCCGGGAGCGTTCCTGCCAGGAAGCAGTGATAGTTCGCATACTGACATCAAGCTTTGACGATAAGTTGACTTTGTTAAGACTGCACGAGACTTACCGGTAAGGCCACCCAAGAAAGATCCACTTCCATACTTCCGAATCCCAGCAGGAGAAGCATCTGGCTCCTGAACATGGTATGCTCCCACAGCCACTGACTGACTCCGTTTCAAGTCATTGTCGGTGTGTTGCCTGTCAAGGAGCACACGTGTCAGATAACTAAGAGCAAAAACTGTGACGTAATGGATACTGGTGCTAGAACGCTTACACAGGTGGAGGATGTTCAGATACGGAGGCTCCTGAGAATGTTCCTTGTTCCTGAGAAAAACTAACGTAAGGAAGGAATGTTCACGAATCCAAAAAAGGCGAAAAGGCATTGCTGATGGCTGAATACCTGTCTATCGGTTGTGCTACTAAGCCGGTTCCGCATTCCATGGTCGCTAGGTCTCCTGGCCGGAGCGACGACGACATCAGGCGACTCCTCCATCCTTGGAGACTCCTAGGTACAGACACAAGAATTCATTCGTACAAGCCTTATTGGTGATGATTGTGAACAGAAACCAGAGCTCAGTAGCGGTGCCAGAATCAATGTTGCTCCATTCACTCTGTCAGCTGAAGGCCTTGTTCAGCAACACGCGAGGCGCATTCGCGATTCGGTTGGGTTTGGTTCGGTTCAATTGCGACTCATAACACGAAAACATAACCAGTACTAAACGCAATTAAGCTGTAATAAAGATACACAGAACCTCGACATAAGCAATTCTGCCACGTCATTGCGTCGACATTGACCTGGCCAATCCGAGCCACTAATTTATCCCCCACGCAATTTCGTCATCCAAAATCGAACTCCCTGATTCCTCTTAACCCAACCACAATCCACTCCACCCAGCCGAGCGTACACAGTTGACCAACTAGCTGTTGCACTCGAAACAAGTACACCTGGCCCGTGGTAAATTCACCGCCTGAACGTTTTTCTTCCAGGCCCCATTTTGCGTTTCCGTCTAATGAGACGGTCACCCAGAAAATTTAAGGCTACAAATAAGCAGCAAGGATACACTGCTGTCCAGCGCACTCGTACTTAGTGATCGGAGAGAAGGGCGGGATTGGCTTTTTAACAAGTTACGATTTCCCGATCTGGTGAAGGGTATGCATGATTCTACCCCCTTTGAATCCGAAACTACCTTCATAAACTAGCTTGACCGCGGAAAAGTACCACCACGTCGTGAAGATACCGCTGGTGAATTTACCGCGGGCCAGGTGTATCTTCAATCTCTTGCTCCCATCAAGATATAGCACTAATCAATTAGGTGGCGATTACGACGGTGAATGCAAGAGTTGGTCTCCTCTGTCAATAGTGGCGTAGTGGCCCTGATTTCATTGTCGTTTCTTACCTCTCACCGTCAGCGTGCAAGTTCACCACGACCATGCCTCGTCCAGCACCCTCGCCGTTTGAGAGGAAGCCACGAAGTGCAGAGGAGGAGAACCCGCTTGCTGGGCTTGGCGTTCGCGCTTCCGCATCGCCAAAGGTATCTTCGCATGCTTATCTCTCCTTCCATGCACACGGCTTCCTTTTTCATGTAGCTGTACTTTTTGTTCTCTTAAGAAAGTTAGCAGCTTACATTACCTGTTTATCTCTGCGTAGGCTAAAGGGTCACCAGTTTCATCATGAGGTAGCTTTAAACAACATGCTCGTGCCTGGAATCTATTCAGCTCAGAATTCTTGTCGTTCTCATGTGCAACGGATCGTTACCTACGTGCGCCTCGATTATGAGTTAAGTTTTCTTGGTTGCAACACTGTGTTGAGCAGTCAGGAGCTGTCATGGCACCCTCCTCTGGTGCTCTGTCAAGAAGACGACCATCGCCCAATCAAAATAACGCTATGTTCGAGTTCGATCCAGAGCTCGTTGCTGCTTTTCAACGCAACATGATGGTACGTAATACTTGTGTTCGTAAGTAGACTTGCGATTTGTTTCTTAAGTGATTGGGATGCAAACACGACTCGGGTGGCGCCTTCTGTTCCAGTTGGTTTTTTTTTTTTTTTTTTTTTTTTTTTTTTTTTTTTTTTTTTTTTTTTTTCAACCACCAATTTATGGAGGAATAACCAGGTTAATGAACACACGCGCGTGCGCACACACGCATACACGCACACACACACACACACACACGCACACACACTCACTCACTCACTCAATCACTCACACAGACACACACACACGCGCGCGCGCTTATTCACTGACTCACGCTCTCATCCCCACCCACCCACCCCCCTAAACCCTAAACGTCCACACACATATACTCATTCTCACCCCTCCCGCACCACACTCACTCACACGCGCACACACACACACACACACACACTCACACACACACAGACACAGACGGACACAGACACACTCACACACACAGAGACACAGACAGACACAGACACACTCACACAAACACACACACACACGCACACACACGCGCGCGTGCACACACACACACACGCACACTTGGCTAGTTAGTTACATACGCGTATAATCTTGTTTCCTTTTCCCTCTCTGTACGGCGCCCATCATCCCCCCTCCCTTTTGACCTCATTAATGTTCCCTCCACAATCTCCGCACTTCCTGCGTCTTGTCCTTCCCCAACCCCTCCCACTCTCTCCGCCACCACCTCCCACGCCTTCGCCCCTCCGTTCCTTCTATCAACGTACCCAAAATATCCACATGTATCAATTTCGGTAGTTGTGCTTCTAGCCTCTGATTCTTGAAGGTTTCACATTCTCATTTCTCAGTCGCCCCTTCAACTCCTTTACTGTCCCTGGTTTCCCCATTTCTGGTGTTTGCGATTTTGGATATGAATGCTATGCAGTTTTTTCGTCGTGTGTTCAGCCTAGACACCTTCCTCAGGCCCTTGCCAGCGCCAGTGGCACAGTCCATTGCACGAAGCTTCGGTTTCTTCACAAGCATCTTCACACAGTTTGTTGGTGAGTGGATGTTTCTGGGTTTATTGTTCTTAGCGGTAGATCTCAGTTTTTTAGTACGGTACTTATTTTTTGCCATAAAACTCAGCAAGATCAATGTTGCTGAATACTTTCACCTGCTGCTGTGTCTGTCTTTTCAATTGTTGTTTTCATATTTGCCCCTCTGTATTGCAGATCCGAAGGGCATCAAGAACGCACAAAAAGCAATGGGCATTCGAAAGGATGACTCTAGGATTGTTCGACGGAAAGAGTAACATTTTATTTTTCCTCACTATGGGTCTGGCTTAGGTAGTGTGAATGCTGGTACAGCACCTGTGCTTGTTTCCTTTCCTCTTGTCCTCATCTCCAGCCTAAAGCTTCAGAGGGAAGGCCATTGTAACTACCGTATGCATTTAGTGAGTTGCAATTTGATTGTGTGTACCAAAGTCAATATTTCCACAATATCATTGCTTGATATTATTCAATGCTTACATGTAGCAATACTACGTGACAGCACACCAGCCACACACCCTTCACTCTATTCTTTTTCTTGTTCTTAAAATGTAGATAGTGTAACTCGGACTTACGGAAAAAATGGGGGGGGTCTCCTCATAGGAAAAAAGTACATAATACCCGGGTCTTTACATATGGTGTATTTTAGTGTTAGTGTTTATTTAATTAGACAATGTGGGTGTTTTGATTTTCATTTTAACATCACTGTCTGAGGCGCGAATGTGGGTTTCGGCCACGAGCTTCATCACCCCCACGAAAATGCCATGTGGCACCTGTCTTGCCACTTGCAGCGGAAGATTCGCCTGCACGTGGTCACAGCGAAGTAGTGCGAGGGGGGAAATCTCGGTAGATAGCAAGTGAATGTACCGCGAAATTTCATCTAGGGAGAAATTTTCGCGATATTCTTCAATATTGCAGCTACTCATTAACGACTATTATAACGAATTCGTAAGAAAAGGGGGGTGTTATAGAAAATCAGCAAAAAAGGGGGGTATAGTAGAAACGAGGTCTATCATAACACCCACCCCGCACAAGCTACCCGGGGGTGTACAATTACGGGGGGGTGTTTTGTCCGGGAGAATACGGTAAGACCCCAGTGCAATCTGCCTGTCATCTGCTTCATCCTGCACACTGGCACATCAGAAAACAAAGAAATCCTTAGGCATGTGCACTATTCAGCACATTCGGCACAACTAGCACTCGCCTCAGAGGAACATGATCTTGGCACTCAACTCCTTGGCCAGTGCCAGTTTGAGGCTATTCAAATGACCCCACAGCGATGCCTGCCCAATGCCTCCTTGGCTCTCCGCATCCAGCAAACTACGGGCGGTGAGAGTGGGAGCATTGTTGAAGCAGGAGCGTTGTTGCGAGAGTGAGTCTGGGGAGACGTGCTGCAAGCAGCTGATGAGTGCAGAGATGTGGGCTTCTTTGAACGGCAGGGAGCGTCTCTGTAGCACATGAGCCTGCCAGTGGGGTGGGATGGGAACAGAAGGGGATATCCGGATGGATTTTCAGGCGGCAGGAAGGAGCTGATCAAGACAGAGATGATTTTGAAGTTATCTGATTTGCGATGGACTGGAGAATGCATCAAGAGGTACACATGTATTGACTCGAGGCAAGAGTCCCTGGTAAAGCTTTTCGGATAAGCAGAAGCAATTGCACTGTAGCCGAGGCAGTGGCAGACCTCCTCTTGAGACAATAAGCCATTTACCATGCCTTATTAGCACCGCAATCGACACTAGGCATAACAGCTGACACTGGTTACGGTAACTGCCACTGCTTACCATGAGATGAGACAGAGCGAGGAAGACGCGAGGGTAATGCGATGAGGTGTGGAGCATGGCCTGAGAGTGATAGAGAGCCAACAAGAAGATAGGATACATGGACTTGAAACAACAAAAGAGGCAAGAGGAAAATGATAACCATGAGAATAGATCGCTCCCTGTTCCGCCAAACAAACACCAGAACCAGCTCGTGTGATTAGTCAGTGATCCATGATAGAATTTCTAGGCTTACAGCATATGTGTTTTCACTGACCTGCACTAGCCGGTCCGCCAGGTGGCTTCGTTGGATTGGCTCGGGAGTAGCAGTAGCAGTGGTGGCAGGAAAAAAGGGCGACACTGGGCTGTTTGATCCACCAGTCAGCCCTTTGACCAGCTCCCATACACTGTGAGGAAGGGATGGGACAGGTGGGTGAGTGCGCGTGGGTAAGTTGGGAAGAGAAGGATGGGAAGAACAGATGGGTTGAGGGATGCACCTGTGAGCTCTTTGACGAGCTCCCATACACTGTGAGGGAGGGAGGGGACAGGTGGGCGATAGTGCATATGTATGGTGTGGTACAAGGGTGGGCGAAGGAGAGAAGGGGGAAGGGGAGGAAAAATGGGTTGTCGGGTGCGCTTGTGAGCTCTTTGATCACCTCCCATACACTGCAAGGAAGGGAGGGGCGAAACAGGTTATCAGGTTCCCATCGGTATGTTCAAGGGTGGGAGGAGGTGGGAGGCGGTGAGAGGGAGGAGCGACAAGTTGTTTGGTGCACCTGTGAGATCTTTGACCAGCTCCCATGCGCTACAAGGAAGAGACAGGAGCACTGGGTTTTGCATGGGTAGGGTACGGTTCAAGAATAGTGGAGAGGTGGGGGTGGGGACGAACAAATGACTTTGTCCGGTGCAACGTAAGCGTTTTTACCAGCTTCCATGAGCTGTGAGGAAGGGACAGGAGACGTTGACACAAGAAAAAACTATCACACGAATATACTGAGTCTGGAGCTGGTGGGGGCATACTCGTGGCACATGAATGAAGATATGTAACGGCAGGCCATGAAATGCGTTATAAGACAACATTACTAATCTCACACATTAGCACTCACAAAAAGCAGGAAACGACTCACGAGAGCACATATTCAAGAGCCGAGTGACTCTGTCCGGTCGACCCACTGCTGTTTCTCAGAGCATCCAACGCTGCTGCGGCTCTTGCTGCACCTGCTGCTTCTCCTCCTGCTTCTCGTCCTGTTCCCTGTGTGGCACCTGAACCTGAACCAGGTGCGGCCTGCACCAGATGCAGCCTCCCCCTGATTGCCGGCACCAGCAGCTCGTCTGCGAGGAAAAGGACAAGCGCGTCCATGGGCGCTGCTGCTGGCGCGCCGGCCGCTGCCATCCAATAGACGCTCGCCACATGGCGCGACGTGGCGAGGCTTCTAGAGTCCCAACATGCCATTGCAGCAGACTGGAAGAGAGCGGGAGTGGTGGGAGGGGGGAGTGAGGAGGAGGGGGGAAGGAGGGAGAACAGGGGAGGTGAGATGGGTAACTATAAGGGTCCAAAGAGCCTTGCTGCGAGAGTCCCGGCATGCCATAGTGGCAGACTGGGGCGGGGAGGGGGAGGGAGGGGAGAGGGGAGAGCGTGGGGAGAGAGAATTGGGCACTCTTCTAGAGCCCTAATCTGCCAAGGCAGCAGATTGGAGAGGAGTGAAGAGGAGTGGGTGGGGGGAGAGCGGGAGATGGTGGTATCGGGTTGAAGAGGGGCGAAGTGGTGAGTGGTGTGGGCGATGACAGAGCACAACAGAGCGCCACAGACAGAGTACCACAGAGCACCAAAGAGCACTGCAGAGTACCACAAAGCACCACAGAGCACTGCAGAGTACCACAGAGCACCAAAGAGCACTGCAGAGTACCACAGAGCACCAAAGAGCACTGCAGAGTACCACAGAGCACTGCAGAGTACCACAGAGCACTGCAGAGTACCACAGAGCACCACAGAGCACCACAGAGCACCACAGAGCACCACAGAGCACCACAGAGCACCACAGAGCACTTGCTTACCCAGGATAAGAAGGCAGCAGCAGGGTAGCAGGCAGGGGCGTATGAGTCAAGTAGTAAGAGGGTTTTGGCAATGCTACTATGCATGGCAGGTGTTATTGGCTGGGACCGCAACACTTGCTGTATGAGTTTTGAGACGTCTCAAAACTCAAAACGAGACATCTCAAAACTCAAAACGAGACGTCTCAAAACTATATTGGCTGGGACCGCAACACTTGCTGTATGAAGGGCTATAAGCACTTACTCGGGACAAGACGGCCGCAGCAGAGGAGTAGCAGGCTGGGGCATATGAGTTGACGAGAAATAGGGTTTTGGCGATGCTGGTGTGCGTGGTGGCCAAGACTGGCTGGGGTAGCAGCACTTGCTGTATGAAGGCTTCTCCTGGTGGGCATGGGGCGAGGTATGGGAGGGCGAGCTCGGGAGAGAGGGAAAAGAGGGGGGAAGGGAGGGCGAGGAGGGGAATTATGGTGATGGGCTGTGACTGGGTATGCCAACAGCACTTGCTTGGTGAAGGGCTCTCCTGGTGGGCATGGGGCGATTTAGGGGAGGGCGAGCTGGGGAGAAGGGTGGGGAAGGGTGGGAAAGAGGGAGGGGAAGCAGGTAGACGTTTTGCATTAAGACAGGTTGGGAGAGGGTGAGGTGAGAGGGTGGGCATGGGGCAAGGTATGGGAAGGCGAGATGGGAGAGAGAAGGTGAGGAAGAGAGAGCGGAGAGGAGAAGGGAAGGTATACAACAACACTTGCTGTTTATGTAAATGTGGTGGGAGGGGTAGAGTGGGAACCCAGAGCCTTGTACAGAAACAGGGAAACATCATATATCTACGCTCTTGTGTGTGACTAGGACTCTGTTTAGTATACACAGAGGAGGTGAATGATTGGTTAACTAGAAAATCACCTCCGAAGCCTTGTATGGAAACAGGGAACCATCATGTAGCTACGCTCATGTGTGTGTGTGACCAGGAGAGTAATTGATATGCACAGAGGAGAATGACTGAAGGATCAATGACTAAGATTTCACCTGCCACGTGGCAGGATCTAATAGGAGGGCTCACCTGCCACGTGGCAGCCTCTGATAGGAGGGCTCACCTGCCATGTGGCAGCCTCTGATAGGAGATCCATGGCGTAGTTCACCCGGCAGAGATCCAGAACAGACAGGCCGCTGATGTCAGCACCATCTGCTGCGGATGGCTCCCGGGCGGCAGGGGCAGCATTTCGGGCGGCAGCTGCAGCGGCTTGTTTGGCTGGTAGTGCGGAGAGGGACGGCGAGGGAAGTGAGAGAAGCTCAGTCACTTGCACTAGGAACCTGATAGGGGATGAGCCGGTGTGTGAGAGGGTAGGGAGGGATGGCGAGGGATGGCGAGGGATGGCGAGGGATGGCGAGGGATGGCGAGGGATGGCGAGGGATGGCGAGGGATGGCGAGGGATGGCGAGGGATGGCGAGGGATGGCGAGGGATGGCGAGGGATGGCGAGGGATGGCGAGGGATGGCGAGGGATGGCGAGGGATGGCGAGGGATGGCGAGGGATGGCGAGGGATGGCGAGGGATGGCGAGGGATGGCGAGGGATGGCGAGGGATGGCGAGGGATGGCGAGGGATGGCGAGGGATGGCGAGGGATGGCGAGGGATGGCGAGGGATGGCGAGGGATGGCGAGGGATGGCGAGGGATGGCGAGGGGATGGCGAGGGATGGCGAGGGATGGCGAGGGATGGCGAGGGATGGCGAGGGATTGGCGAGGGATGGCGAGGGATGGCGAGGGATGGCGAGGGATGGCGAGGGATGGCGAGGGATGGCGAGGGATGGCGAGGGATGGCGAGGGATGGCGAGGGATGGCGAGGGATGGCGAGGGATGGCGAGGGATGGCGAGGGATGGCGAGGGATGGCGAGGGATGGCGAGGGATGGCGAGGGATGGCGAGGGATGGCGAGGGATGGCGAGGGATGGCGAGGGATGGCGAGGGATGGCGAGGGATGGCGAGGGATGGCGAGGATGGCGAGGGATGGCGAGGGATGGCGAGGGATGGCGAGGGATGGCGAGGGATGGCGAGGGATGGCGAGGGATGGCGAGGGATGGCGAGGGGATTGGCGAGGGATGGCGAGGGATGGCGAGGGATGGCGAGGGATGGCGAGGGATGGCGAGGGATGGCGAGGGATGGCGAGGGATGGCGAGGGATGGCGAGGGATGGCGAGGGATGGCGAGGGATGGCGAGGGATGGCGAGGGATGGCGAAGGGATGGCGAGGGATGGCGAGGGATGGCGAGGGATGGCGAGGGATGGCGAGGGATGGCGAGGGATGGCGAGGGATGGCGAGGGATGGCGAGGGATGGGCGAGGGATGGCGAGGGATGGCGAGGGATGGCGAGGGATGGCGAGGGATGGCGAGGGATGGCGAGGGATGGCGAGGGATGGCGAGGGATGGCGAGGGATGGCGAGGGATGGCGAGGGATGGCGAGGGATGGCGAGGGATGGCGAGGGATGGCGAGGGATGGCGAGGGATGGCGAGGGATGGCGAGGGATGGCGAGGGATGGCGAGGGATGGCGAGGGATGGCGAGGGATGGCGAGGGATGGCGAGGGATGGCGAGGGATGGCGAGGGATGGCGAGGGATGGCGAGGGATGGCGAGGGATGGCGAGGGATGGCGAGGGATGGCGAGGGATGGCGAGGGATGGCGAGGGATGGCGAGGGATGGCGAGGGATGGCGAGGGATGGCGAGGGATGGCGAGGGATGGCGAGGGATGGCGAGGGATGGCGAGGGATGGCGAGGGATGGCGAGGGATGGCGAGGGATGGCGAGGGATGGCGAGGGATGGCGAGGGATGGCGAGGGATGGCGAGGGATGGCGAGGGATGGCGAGGGATGGCGAGGGATGGCGAGGGATGGCGAGGGATGGCGAGGGATGGCGAGGGATGGCGAGGGATGGCGAGGGATGGCGAGGGATGGCGAGGGATGGCGAGGGATGGCGAGGGATGGCGAGGGATGGCGAGGGATGGCGAGGGATGGCGAGGGATGGCGAGGGATGGCGAGGGATGGCGAGGGATGGCGAGGGATGGCGAGGGATGGCGAGGGATGGCGAGGGATGGCGAGGGATGGCGAGGGATGGCGAGGGATGGCGAGGGATGGCGAGGGATGGCGAGGGATGGCGAGGGATGGCGAGGGATGGCGAGGGATGGCGAGGGATGGCGAGGGATGGCGAGGGATGGCGAGGGATGGCGAGGGATGGCGAGGGATGGCGAGGGATGGCGAGGGATGGCGAGGGATGGCGAGGGATGGCGAGGGATGGCGAGGGATGGCGAGGGATGGCGAGGGATGGCGAGGGATGGCGAGGGATGGCGAGGGATGGCGAGGGATGGCGAGGGATGGCGAGGGATGGCGAGGGATGGCGAGGGATGGCGAGGGATGGCGAGGGGATGGCGAGGGGATGGCGAGGGATGGCGAGGGATGGCGAGGGATGGCGAGGGATGGCGAGGGATGGCGAGGGATGGCGAGGGATGGCGAGGGATGGCGAGGGATGGCGAGGGATGGCGAGGGATGGCGAGGGATGGCGAGGGATGGCGAGGGATGGCGAGGGATGGCGAGGGATGGCGAGGGATGGCGAGGGATGGCGAGGGATGGCGAGGGATGGCGAGGGATGGCGAGGGATGGCGAGGGATGGCGAGGGATGGCGAGGGATGGCGAGGGATGGGGAGGGATGGCGAGGGATGGCGAGGGATGGCGAGGGATGGCGAGGGATGGCGAGGGATGGCGAGGGATGGCGAGGGATGGCGAGGGATGGCGAGGGATGGCGAGGGTGGCGAGGGATGGCGAGGGATGGCGAGGGATGGCGAGGGATGGCGAGGGATGGCGAGGGATGGCGAGGGATGGCGAGGGATGGCGAGGGATGGCGAGGGATGGCGAGGGATGGCGAGGGATGGCGAGGGATGGCGAGGGATGGCGAGGGATGGCGAGGGATGGCGAGGGATGGCGAGGGATGGCGAGGGATGGCGAGGGATGGCGAGGGATGGCGAGGGATGGCGAGGGATGGCGAGGGATGGCGAGGGATGGCGAGGGATGGCGAGGGATGGCGAGGGATGGCGAGGGATGGCGAGGGATGGCGAGGGATGGGCGAGGGATGGCGAGGGATGGCGAGGGATGGCGAGGGATGGCGAGGGATGGCGAGGGATGGCGAGGGATGGCGAGGGATGGCGAGGGATGGCGAGGGATGGCGAGGGATGGCGAGGGATGGCGAGGGATGGCGAGGGATGGCGAGGGATGGCGAGGGATGGCGAGGGATGGCGAGGGATGGCGAGGGATGGCGAGGGATGGCGAGGGATGGCGAGGGATGGCGAGGGATGGCGAGGGATGGCGAGGGATGGCGAGGGGATGGCGAGGGATGGCGAGGGATGGCGAGGGATGGCGAGGGATGGCGAGGGATGGCGAGGGATGGCGAGGGATGGCGAGGGATGGCGAGGGATGGCGAGGGATGGCGAGGGATGGCGAGGGATGGCGAGGGATGGCGAGGGATGGCGAGGGATGGCGAGGGGATGGCGAGGGATGGCGAGGGATGGCGAGGGATGGCGAGGGATGGCGAGGGATGTGCGAGGGATGGCGAGGGATGGCGAGGGATGGCGAGGGATGGCGAGGGATGGCGAGGGATGGCGAGGGATGGCGAGGGATGGCGAGGGATGGCGAGGGATGGCGAGGGATGGCGAGGGATGGCGAGGGATGGGCGAGGGATGGCGAGGGATGGCGAGGGATGGCGAGGGATGGCGAGGGATGGCGAGGGATGGCGAGGGATGGCGAGGGATGGCGAGGGATGGCGAGGGATGGCGAGGGATGGCGAGGGATGGCGAGGGATGGCGAGGGATGGCGAGGGATGGCGAGGGATGGCGAGGGATGGCGAGGGATGGCGAGGGATGGCGAGGGATGGCGAGGGATGGCGAGGGATGGCGAGGGATGGCGAGGGATGGCGAGGGGATGGCGAGGGATGGCGAGGGATGGCGAGGGATGGCGAGGGATGGCGAGGGATGGCGAGGGATGGCGAGGGATGGCGAGGGATGGCGAGGGATGGCGAGGGATGGCGAGGGATGGCGAGGGATGGCGAGGGATGGCGAGGGATGGCGAGGGATGGCGAGGGATGGCGAGGGATGGCGAGGGATGGCGAGGGATGGCGAGGGATGGCGAGGGATGGCGAGGGATGGCGAGGGATGGCGAGGGATGGCGAGGGATGGCGAGGGATGGCGAGGGATGGCGAGGGATGGCGAGGGATGGCGAGGGATGGCGAGGGATGGCGAGGGATGGCGAGGGATGGCGAGGGATGGCGAGGGATGGCGAGGGATGGCGAGGGATGGCGAGGGATGGCGAGGGATGGCGAGGGATGGCGAGGGATGGCGAGGGATGGCGAGGGATGGCGAGGGATGGCGAGGGATGGCGAGGGATGGCGAGGGATGGCGAGGGATGGCGAGGGATGGCGAGGGATGGCGAGGGATGGCGAGGGATGGCGAGGGATGGCGAGGGATGGCGAGGGATGGCGAGGGATGGCGAGGGATGGCGAGGGATGGCGAGGGATGGCGAGGGGATGGCGAGGGATGGCGAGGGATGGCGAGGGATGGCGAGGGATGGCGAGGGATGGCGAGGGATGGCGAGGGATGGCGAGGGATGGCGAGGGATGGCGAGGGATGGCGAGGGATGGCGAGGGATGGCGAGGGATGGCGAGGGATGGCGAGGGATGGCGAGGGATGGCGAGGGATGGCGAGGGATGGCGAGGGATGGCGAGGGATGGCGAGGGATGGCGAGGGATGGCGAGGGATGGCGAGGGATGGCGAGGGATGGCGAGGGATGGCGAGGGATGGCGAGGGATGGCGAGGGATGGCGAGGGATGGCGAGGGATGGCGAGGGATGGCGAGGGATGGCGAGGGATGGCGAGGGATGGCGAGGGATGGCGAGGGATGGCGAGGGATGGCGAGGGATGGCGAGGGATGGCGAGGGATGGCGAGGGATGGCGAGGGATGGCGAGGGATGGCGAGGGATGGCGAGGGATGGCGAGGGATGGCGAGGGATGGCGAGGGATGGCGAGGGATGGCGAGGGATGGCGAGGGATGGCGAGGGATGGCGAGGGATGGCGA